ACGGAATACTTTCCGAATATATGGACCTTATGGGGAAAAGAATATCAGACTAAGGAATTTTTTTAAATTTTCTGAAATATTGCCACTCAATTTAAAACAAGGGGAGTATCCGATTTATCTGAAACTTGACACGTAGTAATATAATAGATAGGGGTGATAATGGACATAATTGGGTCACTCCCCATACTTCGTGTCTCTTGTAAAATAGGTGCACAAATTTTTTCACTATAAAATTAAGTGTGAAAAAAAGATTAGTCCACTATTTTTCGTACCCCTTCGCAAAAGTCCAAAAAAAGTAAAAAATATACATATCTGTCTATATATATTGCAAAATATCTGACTGATTGGGAATCAACAGCCCACACGAAACCGCTGAAGCTAGAATCTTAAAATTTTGGATGAAATTCATTCTTGATCCGAAGGCTGTGTTTTTGGAGATTCATACCAAAAATGTATGAAAAGTACTAAATATGGCGAACCAGTATAGCTACAACTCTTAAATTTGGAATGAGCGTCACTGATGGAGTGAATGGACCAAAGGGTCTTATTTGGAAATTCGGTTTTCGAAATTTGTAAAATATACCACATTTGATATCAGTTCGAATCGTGTAGACTAAAAGTAGTAAATTATACTAAATTTGGGGGAATGAATGGAACTTGAATCCTGAAATTTGAAATTAACATTAATGGCTGAGTGTAGGATTGGGATATGAATGTAGTTTTTGAAATTTGTACTTATATGCACAAAAAGTACTAAAATGTACTAAATTTAGTACAATTTCGATTTGGGTGAAACGATATAGCTGGAATTCCGAATTTTGGAACTAAGGTTACTATTAGTGTAGATTGGGGTATGCAGGAAGTTTTGGAAATTCGAACTTATAGTACTAAATTTGGTACAATTCGTTTTTGAGCGAACAGCAGGTAGGGGTGGAATCCTTAAATTGGGATATAATTGCATCATGCAGGTTGTTATGGAAATTTGTACTTTTGTTTACTTAATGGTACTAAATTTGGTATAAATTAGAATTGTGGTGAACCGATAAAGCTGGAATTCTGAAATTTGGAAAAAGGATTACCGTCGGTGTATAGGATTGGGATATGGAGGTAGGTAGTTTTGGAAATTTGTACTTATATGTACCAACATTTGGTACAATTTAGATTTGAGTGAACCGATAGAGCTGCAATCCTAAGATTACTGAATGTAGGATTGGGATATGGAAGTAGTTTTGGAAATTTGTACCTTTGTGTAAGAAAGGTAATAAATTATACCATATTTGGTATTGAGTGAAGGTATATTGCTTGAAATCTAAATTTTTGCCCAAGAAACACAGTTAGTGTCTTGGGTTAAAACTTGGAGGTGCATAGGAAAATACGTATTACAAACTGGGGTTTCCAACAAAAATGCACAAAATTTGGTACAATTTGGAATTAAGAAAATATGGTAAAATCTTAAAATTCGGTATGAGAATCAATTCTTAAAAATGGAGTTGGTATAAGGAGGTGGTTTTGGAAAATTGTGCCAAGTGTAAAAACTGAGGTACTAATTTTGGAATAATTCAGTTTTGGGTGAATGAAAGAAGTTGGTAATTTAGACTTGTATTGGGTCCCTGTTGATGGCATATTTGCGAAAAAAGGGTGGGTTTGGAAGTGCAGGAAAAGTAGTAAATAGTACTATATTCGGTACGAATGGGTATTGGGTGAACGGAGAGTGCAAGAAAGCTGAAATTTTCTATAAGGGTCGCTGTTTATGTGTTGCCCGGACATAAAGACTACTGTCATTTCCAAGCCACTCGTCCGACAGCTGTTAAAATTATTCCTGCGACAGGCCATTATACTGTTTGCAAGCGTACAAAAGCATTTTGGTGAGAATTTTTCCAGAAAAAAGTTATTCATGATGGAATACAAGCGTGATAGTGTGATTTCTTTATATTTGGCTGGAAAACCACAAGTGACTATCGTTAGAACCCTCCAGCATTTCTTTTGTGTCTCGATACCGTGATACTAGTAGCGTAGCCCGACGTCAAGGAAGTGACCGGGAGAAAACAGCAACATCAGCAGATGTGGTTCGAAATACCAAAATACCGCAGAGCAACATTCGGGCAGCGTGTGACGGTTTCATTGACCGTTTGAAGGCCATAATTCGTGCCAAAGGTGACCAATTCGAACAAATCTAAACTTTAAACATTTCATTTAATAAAATTAAAAAAAAAATTGTAAAAATTATTGCGTTTGACTTGTTGCAGTTTTTTATCTCACCCTGTATGGGAGCTATAGTTATATCTTCACCGATTTTGTCCAAATTTGATGTACTTGCTTCTACCTTTAATTCGGTAGGATGTGCCAAAATTCATGTCATTTGGACTGATATTGGCCATTTGGTGCACAATTAACCCGAAATCGCTTGAAGATATATATGGAAGCTATATCAAAATTTTGACCGATTATCTCCAATTTCAATAGGGTTCGTCCTAGGGCCAAACAAATTAGTAGAATTTCATCTTGACCGGTTAATAAATGCGACCAGTACGTTGCTTACAAAAATACATGGACAGACAAACGAACAGATGGACGGACATGCATAAATCAACTCAGAATGTGATTCTACGCATGCAGATCAGCAAAAAGGAACTACTTTCATATGGTGTAGGGTATAAAATGTTTTAAGTAAACAAAACAGGTACTTTTATTCATCGCAAAAGAAGAGAAAATTTCAACGAAATATAAAGAGAGAGAGAGAGTAAAATTAACCACCACCTTGTTAGTTAAAGGTTAAATCATGATATTCATTAAGGGTCCTTTTTAGCCGATATATTACAGGTCGTCCGTTTTTCTGTAATGAAGCGTGGAAATTTGAGTATATTTCTAAGAAAACAATTTCAAGAACCTCGATTCTTTTTAAGGACTTCCTGGGCCCTCAGAGGTTTTTTAAAGAGCACTTTTCCAAAAACTTGGACCTTATGAAAAATTGTGTATTTTTTAAGAATTCTGTATTTTTAAAGGATTTATTATCCAAAAATTATGAACATTCTATAAAAAGTATTCAAACTTGTCAAAGCGTCCGTTTGGCGCCACGTGACAGCAGTTAAGAAGACGTAGAGTACTCCCTTACGTCCATTAATTGGTTATGTCAACCAAATGAAATTATTCAGAAAATATTTGAAAAATGTCGCCGTAAGTGGTCCTCAGCGAAAATAAAATCTCATAATTCCAAATCAAACAGAGCATTTGATCATTCATTCCGCTGATGGCTGATTACCATCCAAATGGGACTCATTATTTGTTTAATTATTTATTTAAATTTATATTGTTGTTGTTTTTCTAAGATTAGCTATAGATTTAATCAATTTCACAACGAAGGCACTGTTTTTTGATTTCGCCTTGGCCAATTGACAAATTGTTAGGCATTTCAATTGGGTACAGCCACCAGGCCACAACAACGTCATTTGGGGCTATTGATGGGGCCATCCAAAGATTATATGACAAACGAGTATCTTTAGGTATTCCAAAGGGATACAGGGTCCACAATGGTTATCAGCAGTCAATAGTCAATGATGCCAAGTGTCGTGTGATTTTGCTCAGATTCTGTTAATAAATCATAGGAAGATAAGTACAAACATATTCACATACAGATGTACAGTAAAATAGATTTAATGAGAGTATGACTGGTGTCGCTCTCAGTAGTTACTACAGTTCTCTTTCAAATGCTGTAGGTGGTTACATCCACGCCATAGGGTTTGAGTGCAATTGCACTTTCTGTGAAGTTTCTCTTCTCTCACAATCTAATGTTAGCCAGATGCTTCCCTTATCTCTGAGTATAATATTTTATATTTACTTTTAATGTTTATTTTTGCTTCAGACCTTTTTGAGCCAGGGATGGGAGGTTCGAATTAAATATTTTTATTTTAGTTATTAATTCTTTTGGTTATAAGGAAAAAATTGGGTTTAATTTGGTAAGGTCGAACTTTTAATAACCTTCAACATTGGGGAAAGATAGCCCGAATTTCTGGGATATGCAATTTGATTGATATACTCTATTTCCGAGGAACAAAAGTGAGTAAAGGCTATGCGTTAAGGTACCAACCATGGTAGAATTAAGAATGTAACCTCATATGTACATTTTTATACCCTCAGACATATGCCTCGAGAGGATATATATCATTTGATACGGCCAAAACGTTCCTCATCGAAATAAAGGTGTTAGATCCTAGGTCTCTTTGGACCAAATCCGTTTCAAGACGTTTGGCGTCGACCTAGCGATGCACTATGTCGCGAGTTCATACAAACGGCGGCCAAAAATAGAAAGAGTTGTCGTAGGTGGATGAAATTTTGTACAGATGCTTATTATTGGGCTAAAAAGCAAATTACAAAAATTTGGATAGATTGGACCAAAATTCGGTATACCTCCCATATATAGGGTCTTCCAAATTTCACTCTTTTAGCCTATAAAATCGTTAATATTCAACCAAATTTGATGAAAATTGGCATGTAACTTCTAATTGGGCCTATAAAACAGTTGACAAAAAATTGGATTGATCGGACCATGATTTGGTATACCTCCCATACAATGGGTCTTGAAAAATTCTCTCTTTTGGGATATAAAAACGAATGTATTAACCCAAATTCGACGAAAATCTGCAGTTTACTTCTAATTTGGGCTATAAAACAAGTGACAAAAAATTGAATTGATCGGACCATGATTTGGTATACCTCCCATACAATGGGGCTTGAAAATTTCGATTTGTTGGCCTATGAAATCGTATGTATTCAACCATATTAAATGAATATTTGCAGTTTACTTCTTATTTAGTGAAATATTAAAATTGTCTGTAGGTTTACGTTTCAGAGTATTTTATATTACAAAACCCTCTTTTCAATAAAACACGTTTTATTCGTATTTAATTTTTATTAATAACATAAGCTTTGAAATACACTATTCACTACATACCTCACTGCAATCATCAGATTCATCTTCTGAACATATTTCCGGAATATTTAAGTTATTTTCTTCACAAATATATGATTTAATGTCTTCCATGTTATAATTTCGGGCCAATATATTATGACTGTTCAAGGATATTACAGGGTCCGATTGTAGTATCAAATACTGAATTAAATCCCTATTTGACTCGACTCTACCACATTTTCGGGTGTGTTTCAAACGGTTGCTCCTAATTATTTTATGGCATGACTCGATAGCCTCTTCCGAAAGCAGTCCAAGAGGGGATGTACTGTACCTTACATATCCAATGCCATGAACTAAAATTTTATGCACCGTGACTGGCATGTAATACCAAGAGTATAAGTCGATGTAAAGTTGCCATGTATCTTGAAGAAGCTTATGAAATAAATTTATATTTATAAATCTCCCACAAGACAAAATCCGCAAAATGAGGGAAAAATTGTAAATTAATCTTCTGTCGACCCCGGTAATATCTGCCGCTACTTCAATGTTTGAAAAAAAAAACGTCGAGCTGTATTTCCATCATTTGATGTCCCGTAGCCCGGTTTTATTTTGTCGACAAGAAGACCTAGATTTGTTTTTAATGCTCTTCGTATCCTGATTTTATTTTCATTCACTAATATTGTGTTTCTACTATCAATTCGCCATGTCTTGACAGGTAGTTTATATGCAATATGAACAATGCACTCAAAAAACTTAATCCAGGCGTGTAAACTAGATATACCGTTCCTATAACACTCTTCGTTGACTTCTCTTTGGTATATAGATTCATCATTCATTTGTGAAGGCTTGGCGCCACATAAAACACAGGTTGCACAACTTTTATTGCCATACAATACATTTAATACAGCTCCGTCAACCATTGTTAGTTTCATGCGATGAGAAATCATAATTTCATAACTGTTATCAATGTATACACAAGCATCCAAATCTGCTATTTCTTTCTCTATGTTTTCTTTGACTTCATTTATAGTCTGTGAATTTTCCTTTGTAAAAAGTATTTTAATAGGTCTACATAGCCTTGAAGATGAGTGCCTGTCGTTCTGCCACAAGACATTTTCGTTTGTATCATCTAAAATACGCAAGGGCACAAATGAAGAAACGAACATAAATTCATCTGTTGCGTCTTCGTTTCGAAATTTTTGTTTATAGAGGCTATGACCACTGCTGCCATCAAATCCCCATTTACATTCTAAAGTTATATTATTTTTCGGACAAATTTGTAGTTTAGTTAGAATGCTCTTCGCGGTATTATCCAAAAGTGTTTGTAGAGGTACATTCATTGATGTTTCCGTCACTTCTATATTTTCTGGAATCAATTTTTTCTTAGCTTCTGCTATAGCATAATACGATGGGAAACAATTTTTATGTATAGCATTTACAGCATTTCTCATCATGTTATACTGTCTAACTGATAAATCCATATCCACGTAGAGCGCCAATGCTTTTTCCACTGAAATAATGTCCGTTTCCTTTACATTCGAAAATCTTTTTGCAGCTGTTGTTATGATGTCCGCCGAAGTAGATGCAACAAGTTCACCTACACGTCGCCTTTTTGTTCTACATGAACTTTCCTCAAAGTTAATGCGTGGTCGACCTCTTGATGTAGACTTATCAGGTTCCTAAATATTTAAATGTTTTTAAATAATTGGTTTAATAAAAATAATCTTCAAATGTACCGAATCAAATTTAAACGTATCCATAAGAAACCAATCTTTTAAGACCATTTCTACTTTATCCCTCTTTTGATAGTATTTTTTCCACGTAGAAGACAATTTGTAGCAAATATTTTTAACCTTTATGTGTTCTTCGCCCGTCATTTTCCTTCCAATTCGATCCTCAATAAATTCTTTAAGTTTTGCCAGAACATATGACATACTTTGATACTTTACTTCTAACCATTCCAAAAATATGTCACAGTTTTTTAAAGAGGTGGTCACTAAAAAAAGCAAATAACTCTTAGGACCGCAGGTTTCCGCAGCTAATTTTTTTATAGGTTAAAAATACATACTTTTCACAACTAAAATCAACAAAAATGTAGACTAAACTTTTTTAACCTTTTTTTTTCTACTCCACTAATTTCAAGATTTGCTTTACAAAATAGATGAACTAAGTACAACAGGTGTTTGTAACTGTAAACACCATATGATCACTATTTACACCCAAACAAAGGTGAAGCCAAGTTTTTGACATCCCAAGTAACTAAAATAAACACTTTTTTTATAACCGTTACTTTTAATATTCAAATTTTTGAACATATGAAAAAAGTGTCAATTTTCCGAAAAAAATAGAAAAATGCCGATTGCCAAAAACTATCAGATTTGAACCCTCGTACAGGCAAAACTACTTGACGTATCACTACCAAAATTCATATTATTCCTAACTGGAATGTTTTCTATCAATTCTCATCAATAAATTTGTGCTCTTATGTACTTGGTTTTTACCATTTTTGGCCGCGGTCGTGACACTGTGCGATGTCCGTTCATTCGTCTGTCTATCTAGCTGGCTGGCTAGCTGGTGCGAAGAGAGTATCCGATTTAATCCAAACTTGGTACATCGTAATATTATTATTAAATTCAGATAGAGTTCGGAGATGGACAATATCGGTCCGCTCCTTCGTGTACCTCTACCACAAAAGGTCGAACCTTTCAAAGAAAATATTTTTCTGCAAAGAAAGAGAAAGGATATTCCGATTTTGTTCTAACTTTGCAAATCCTAATATTTACGTCAGTCGGTCGGTCCGTCGGTCCACTCCAGCAAGTGCCTCCCCCACAAAGGGTAAAAATTTTGAATAATTATAACTCTTATTATATTCCAATTCCTTTCAAACTTAGCACATTTCAATATTTCTATCAACATAAAATTTGTTGAGAATTTGATAAACATAGGCCCACTGCTTCTGGTACCTCCCCCCACAGAGGGTCAAATTTTTGAATAACCAAAACGATGATAAAATGCGAAATAGACATTCAATTGTCTTCTAATTTCACACATCAAAATATTTTTATTAATACAAAATCTGGTGTGAAGATGAAGATACTCCATGTATTACCTCCCCCTCAAAGGGTCAAAATTTTGAATAGCCATGAAGCTCGTAAATCTCGAAATGAGCATCCGATTCCTTTCTAGCACAGTACATCTCAACATTTCTATCAACACAAAGTTTGTTGAGAATTTGATAGACATCGGCCCACTCCTTGTGGTACCTCCCCCACAGAGGGTCAAATTTTTGAATAACCAAAACTCCCATAAAGTTCGAATTGAGCATCCAATTCTCTTTAAATTTCGCATATCCTAATATTTTTACTTAGACAAGCTCCAGTGGAAAGATGGAATATATAGGATCTCTCTTCTGGTACCTTCCACACAAAGGATCAATATTTTGAATACCCAAATGGTAATGGGGTACTTTGGTTTATGGTCTGGGAAAACGAGATTAGTGTTCGGATCTTCGGAGACGGTTTGAGGACACATGGTATAATCGCTCGAGGACGGCAATTCAATGTAGAGAAATTCGGGAGAATATATAAAGGTTGTCTAAGGTTGTTCTGGCTCGGGAGCTCACGGTAGATATGTTCGCGAGCAGCAGTCCATGCCTTTGCAGATGGATCGGAACTTGGTTAGGCAGCATATAGTAGGTTTGTTCGGCAGCCGATGTCTAGGCCCTCTCAGATGGATCGTAACTCGTTCGACAGCTCATTGTGGGCATGTATGCGAACAGCTGTGGCCTCAGCTATGCTGGTACCTATCACTATTATTACATATCTATAAACTTGTAATTACTTAGTTTCTCGATTTAATTCTACTTTTAACAACTTAGTCTAATAACTTATGAACTATTTACACTGGTTGCTACTGTGATACTTGATAGACGGGCTTCTCTAATTCGAGCGTCCCAAAACTTCGGTGATAGAAGAGGAGTTGGTTCTCTCGTTGGATAAGACCCTCTAAGTTCATCGTTAGTAAACTTCTCCTTGGCCTATAATTGTTAGTTAGCCTGTGTACATCTGATTCATGTACAAGGCTTTCTCTAACTAACCTCTTATCGACTGATGCAGCTCTGTCTAGGAAACATAGAGCGCTAGCCATAAGAAATGTATCTATACACCTAAAATCGATGAATCCGTAAATTATCCACATTAATCCTGGGTTAGCTTTAATCCCAAACAGGACCTAAGAATTCGCCTCTCCCAAATGGGACAATATTCCCTTTTTGGTGGGATGACATCCCAAACCAACTAGGAAAGGCATATTTAATTAGAGGACATGTTAACTGTAGATAAGTAATATAACCTTAAGAGTCAGCCCTCCACTAGTGGTTATAACACGCTGGTAGACCCCATATATATTCCCGACTTTTCTAAGTATATAGTCAATATGCCTAATAAATTCAAAGTTACTATACAATATAACGCTCAGATATTTAATCTGGTCCGAATTGCGAATTTGTTGCCCTCCAATTTCAAGATGTGGCTCATACTGTCTGGCGTTGCGATATAAGTATTTTTTCTCTCATCGCAAACCCAATTCAAATTCAATTTCTTCTTTTTGATTTTCTCCCTGTATTCCATCAAAGAAATTGCGATACATTCTCTTCAAATTCAAAGCAGGCAATACTAAGTATTTTTAGCAGAACCTTTAGCATTAGCAGTATTGCATTATCCATCCCTGTTCGATATTAAAGCTTCTGTGCGATACTATATAAAGAGGTATATGTGTGTATATATGTCTTCATATAATGAAAGGCAGAATATTGGCACACTGGTCATTTGTATAGCTGTTGTTGTTGTTGATGATGATGTTGTTGTTATTTGAAAGCAGACTCTAAAACAAATCTGACACAATGACCGACCACTTGTTAGCTTTATTTCAATTAAGAAATTAACGATTTTAAAAATAAGCAACAAGAAATGACAACAACAATTGTACATAAATAAAATATCTCTTTACAGATGGGGCCTACACTATACAGTAACGGGCAAAATTAATTTAATTTAATAGCAAATGTGGCGAAAAGGAAATCATATAAAGTTATTGATCCATTTAAATATGTGGACAGATAGATTCTCTCCGTTCCATTCGTTGCTGTTTGGAATTTGATTATCGTAGCAGCTCATACTGCTGTGTTCGTTCTGACTCCTCTTAATTGGGTTTTGCTTTTGAGTCCAGTCTCAAAACGTCACAACCTGTACGGTTTGGGTCCACCCGTACCCGTGGAGTTAGTTGAGTAGGTTTTCCTGGGAAAGTGAAATGGGTGCAGCGTGTCATGTGGACCTGTTGCACATGCTGGGCAGATGTTCTGCACATCGCTGTCAATCCGGGCCAAATAGGAATTGAGTCGGCTGCACCATTTGGATCTTAAGTGAGCCAAAACTACTCGATTTTTCTCTCGCTCTTCAGCTGCTATACCCATGACTTGTGAGACCGCGTTGCGTATCCACCAGATGGTGATTCGGATGATTCTGTCTGTAACACCCAAGCAGATATTGTATTGACATCATTATTTTATTATGCCGTCGCACCGATAAGACCTTCGCCTCCTCCTTTAGGTGGTCGTCAGGTGTCATGAGGAGGCACCCTGTAACGGGCGGCATTCTGTCAGGGCTGAATATTTTTCCTACTGCGTAACACTAACGTTTGCGGACCACCGGAGCTGCATAGTTTACCAAAGACCGGCCTATCGCGCCCAGAAAGGTAGAGGTTAAACAGTTCCGGAGATATCATCGCACCTTGGGGAGCTCCTTGTTTCAATCTACGGATGCTCTACTTCCTGCCTCTGGCGTCCGCACGTGTAGTTTATTATTCAACGTTTTAAACTTGGCCGGAGGGCAGTGCGTTCAATGTCCTCGAACAGTGTGGCATGTTTGACTGTATCAAAAGCTTTTGATAAACCAAGTGCCACCATAACATCTCTGACACACAGCCTGATCTGGTTGTGTCCTCTGCTGACATGTTGTGGAAATGGCGTGTAAAGCTGTTATTGTGCTATGCAATTTTCGAAATCCGTGTTGATGGTAAGCTACGGGGAAACACCCTCTTATGCTGGGGAGGAGTAAAGCCTCAAGCGTCTTTGCTTCTGGTGACAAAAGTGATATCGGCCTGTATGAATCACTTTTGCTGGCACCCTTGCCTGGCTTCAGTGGCGGGACTACCCTATTCCTTTTCCAGGCATCTGGAACAATAAGAGTGGCTAACGACAGGTTGAGGAGTTTGGTGAGATATTCAACTCCTGGTTCATCCAGTTGCTTCAACATCACCATAGAGATTCCGTCATTACCAAGCGCTTTGGATGTCTTTCAACAACATCTTCAACATCCTCCAACGTAAATTGTGGTGGTACCTCCACGGTTGGAAGAGATCGTACACGGCGTAGGATCCTTCTCTTAGCCCTGTCACTCTCGGGGTACTCTATAAATTGCCGGTTGAAATAACACGCGCCCTCTTCGGATCTGTCACTTTCACGTCGTTAAATGAGAGATTTGTCCGATCATCCTTTTTTCCAGGGTTCAAGAGAGATATAACCGTTGCCCACAATTAACTCGATCCGGTACTGATGTTGCAATTCTTCTTTTCGGCTTATGCTCACCGACTAACCTGTTTAGCTCCAGAGTAAGTTCCCTCACACTGGTGTTATTAGGGTTAGTACGGCGAAGCTCATTTCGTTCATTTGCTAATCCCGCTGCCTATACTGGGAAATTTGGTCTTATTTCAGATATTCGACGAGGGAGCGGCTACAGCTTTGATGATGTCCCGGAAACACCTATCTGCTACCTGAACATCCGATGGGTTGGGCAGTTTTCTGAAGCGGCGATTGGGATATTCTCTGAATTCTTGCCAATTGGCTTTTCCATGGTCAAGGAAAGTGCGGCATTCAGAGCCTAAAGAAATGACTGATGGCCAACTTACGATATTCGTCAGACCTGGGGATGCGATGGATATGTCCGGCAAGCTGTGGCAGTCTCCCCCTATTCTGGGGTGGACGCGTCCTTATTCACTGTGCAAAACGTGGAGTTATCAATTTGCTCAGCCAGGTCCACTACCTAGGACGGAATGCCATATTTCTTGATGGACATCCTCTAGCACCAGATGGTTATTGGCTACCAGAAGTGAACTAATGTTGGGCATATAACGTGGGGCACAGCTATGCAACGGCGGAATGTAAACTTTAAGAACCTCCACCTCGGCGGTTCCACACCGCTACCCCCATATATTCCATGTACAGTTCACTAGAGTCAAGCTCAGCCGATATAGGTCTGTACTGGACAGAGTGGTGCAATAGGAACGCTAATTATCCACCTCTGGTGCGATCCTTTCTTAATATGTTGTTATGGTGGTACTCAGCTTTGTTTCCTGGAACCCTGCGAACTTGATGTTCTTCGGTCTCATGAAGCTTACGATTTCGTTGATCTTACCTCGGAGACCATCACAGTTGAATTGGAGAAATGTGGAGATGTGGAGGGGGAG